TAAGTATAGGCTTAGAAAAATCCTTAATAACTTTGTTCAAATAAGAGATTTGGGCCTGAAATTTTGGGACGTAACTTGAAATTGAATGTGGAACGTTTCTATGACAAAAAATAAAAATTTTTTTTTTTTGGATTTCGAAAAAAATGTCTTATGACTTATAGTAAGGTAACAGTACGGACTTGAGATTCTCTGTCAAAAGTAATTAACCCGATTCTGAAAAAAGGCTTTCAAAAAAGTTTTATTAAAGAAGAAGACGAAAATTCCGAAAAATGTACATACCGGTTTAGTTGAGAATTTTGACAAAAAATTGGAAAAAAAAGTTTTCACAGAAAATTCCGAAATGATCAAATGGGAGGGAGCAGAGAGGATCTGATACAGATCATAAGATCAAATTCCAATGAGATCAAGAATTTTTAGAATCAGGATTTGAATTTAAATTCAAATTCGAAGTTGAAGATGAATTCAAGTTCAAGTTCAAATTCAAAGTTTCAGAAATTATAGAATTATCAAAAGAGTACTGTCGATTTAAGAACAGCGAATTATTCTGAGGTGAGAATGATGGAGATGATGGTGTTGAGAGACTTAGAGATTGGAATGGACTAGAAACTGAGAGATGATGAGAGGAGAGAGACGTTGAGAGTATTGGTTTGAACGCCGATCGTTCTCCGGATCCGATTTCCACGACGGCTGTAGCAATCTTTGGAGGCAATGGAGATGTGCTAGCACTTCTGATGGATAACTGGGTCAGGGGTGTGGAGACGTCGTCCGACATGGAATGCGTTCTCATGTGACGGGAGATCATGTCACGGCGGCTCTGAAATTCGCTTTTCGATCTACAGGAAATATATTATGCGTTTCATTGAAATTAAACATAGCTACATAGTCAGCATCGACGACTAATGGCCTATAGTATCGGTTAATAAGATACAGTATTCCCTCTAATAGAAGCCCACCCAAATCGCCCATTTTGAGCTCACTTATCTCGGTTCTCAAGAGAAACATTAAAAAAACAGCTGGATGGTGCGCTTTCGGTGCGATTTAACCTAACTCTTTCATTGGTTCCTCGCTCCGCTCCTCTTTTTTCTCAAAGGTCACGTCAAATTATATTAAATTTTCAAGCATTGCAATTTTTTAAATTCACGTAACGCAATACATTATAAAATCAATCAATATCAGGTCACACATCCTCTTTTTGTCCACGTTTCAAAAATTCCACGTATTGAAAAAAATCAGTGTCTCTGGGAAATCCGTCTCTTTGAATCTTTATTGTTGGATAATTTTCACTGGCACCTTCTCCCTGGTAAGAAGCCTTTTGCATTCCGCTGCTCATTTGTTGTCTCTTTTGCTTTTTTCTGTCGATTGGTCCGATGCGAAAAAAGTACTAAAAGACCCTAAGGGTCGCCATGTTTCCGTGTTCATGGCTAGGTGTTCTATCACTGAACGTCCCCGAGTAGCAGAAGATTTTATCAAAGATTAAAAAAATTGAGACAACAATGAAAAGTGCTATGCAATGTGGCTTCTTATCGGGATGAGAAGGAGCTTGTGAAAATTAACCGACAATGGTCTCCGAAAAGAGGGGTTTTTCGGCTGACTTCTTGTTTTTTTTGTTAGGGGGTGGGGGACCCCTCCCTCCACGCCCTATGGGTTTTAGAAGGTGAACCCATTGGTCAAATAAACCTTGTTTCCCTTTCATGTACTGAGCCTCTACGTGGCGAAAGGGATCAACAGATTAGTTTCTAGTCTGGCTAATCAGTACACTATTCGAACTCTGTTTTTTTCTTGAAATAAATTTTTAATTTTCATTTTAAAAAATGTTTTTCAGTTGATTTTGACCATTTTCAGGAGTCTGAAGCTTGGCTGTTAAGTCTCCGATCGTTTTGAAATTTTTTGAAGGTGTAACACCAACTTAGATTGAAAACTTTGCATTCATAGACTTTTCGAAAATTCCTAGTTTTTCAGCGATCTTCCGAATCCCAAAGTTTTCGATTTTGGTCTGTTTTACATCCTCCAGAAGTTTTAGAATAATCTGAAACTTGACAGCCGAGCTCCAGACTTCTGAAAATGGTCAACAAACTCTACATAATAGAAGCCCACCCAAGCCTTCACTTTGAGCCAAGCTATGTCGGTTCATATGAAAGATATCAACAATTTGTTAACTATTAAAATGTTTATCATAATACCAAAAACATTTCATCAGTTTACACATTTTTTTTATCTCTTTTAGGAGCCGGGATATAAGGGTTTCAATTTCACTTATATGGTGCGCTCTTATTGGCCGGTACTGACAGGCATATGCTAGTTGAATTCCGAGAAAACTAACCGCTGAATAGTTACAAATCGGGCATGCATACGGCTTTTCTCCAGTATGGGTTCTCAAATGTGTCGATAGATGATCGGACCGCGAGAAGACTTGATTACACGTCGGACAGCTGTATGGTTTTGCTCCGGTGTGTAATCTCATGTGCCTGAAAAATTATAGTTTATTATTTAATTAAATAAATTGACTACCTTGTCAACATATCACTTCTTGCAAAACTTTTCGTACACATGTTACATTTATGTACTTTTGAAGCGTCGTCCAGTGTACAACTTCTCTGTCGATGCCTGGACGCAATGTGCTTAGCTAGGCGGTCATGGACAGCGAATGCCTGGAAAAATGAGATTTAGTCCACTTAAACACGAGTTGGACAAAGTTTGGCAACCAAGTTTGGCAACCAACATATGGACATCTTGCCCTTACCTGCCCACACATTGTACATGGATACTGCATCTCCTTGGCTCGATTATTCTCGTCTCTCATCAAAAACGTCATATCATCTTTACTTTTCGGCACCACTTTCAGGGGTCCCGGTGTTGATAAGGATGAGCAATCTTCCGATGATTTTGTGAGCAGGTTGTAGATCGGCATTGCGTTCTGGATAGCCAGGAATTGATCTCTCGCCCAGTTGTTGACAAGGAGATTTGTCTGAAAAAAAGGATTTTTTTGAGTTTTTGACATTTTTCAAATGTCTGAAAATGTGCTGAAAACTGTTTTGATTTGCTTGAAGCTTTCAGAATACACCAAACAAGACTAGTGCTTCATTTTTTTAGTTGACAATTTTTCATGAAAAATAGGTCCTGAAGAGATATGCCACGTGGCTTTTGTCTACCGTAGCAGCGCAGTTCCACGTGGCAATCTCTCCAGGACTTAATTTTTCGAAAAAGTTGTCAACTTCAAAAATGAAGCTCTAGTTTTGTTCAGTATCCTCTCAAAATTTCAGACGATTCGGAATAGTTTTTGGTACTTTTGTAGGCGATTGAATTTTATCATTTTTAATTTTTTCAACAAAAATTTGAAATTGTTTATTGGAATCGTGTGATTCTTGATCCTTGACTCTGTTATCTGTCAATGTATGCGTCCCAATGTCCACCACCACCACTCACCTCCTTATTCTCCATAACCGACGTCGGTCGGGTCGTCATCCGTTCCATCTCTTCGCGCTCATTTGTCGTTGGCGGTGGTGTGCTACTTGATCGTTTTATCTCTCCTCCGAATTTTGACTTCTTTGTGTAACAAGGCACGGATACTGTAGAATTTGCTAGGAGACTTGCTTCATCTGCATCCTTTTGCATTGGTTGCATATCGCTTTCTGATCGGCTTCGTTCTCTGAAAGATGGGTAAGTTATTGATCTGAATTCCCAAATTTTGAATTTTTTTTTCTCTTACCTGGATAATTCAAAAGCCGCACCGACGGATAACAGATGATTCAGGTTTGTTGTACTATGTCCCAATGAAGAAACTGATCTGGCGTCGAATCTAGAAAAAAATGAAATTTTTGAATCTGTTTAGTTTTCTCTGAAATTTTCACACAAAAATTTTGTGAGGTCGATTTTTTCAGCGCCACCAATTTCCGTATTTTTCCGCCGGAACTGGGAAAAAAGCTTGAAATGTCTACACTTCAAAAAATGAAAGTAGAACATTTTGAACATTGGAGTATTTCACTATAAGTTTAGATTTCCAGAAGCTCAAAATCAAGCTTCTTCCACGTGGCATATCTCCTTAGGACTTGATTTTTTGAGAAAGTTGTAAACTACAAAAATAAAACTCTAGTCTTGTTTCGTATATTCTAAAAATTTCAGATACTTTTGTAAACATGAAAAGAAAGAGCTTACGAAAAATGATTAAACGAGTTTGGCGATAACGAAAACGCGGGAGACACCGAGTGTGTGGATTCGCAATCAAATGGAGACCCCATTTCTTTTCCAGATTCATCGTAATCCGCAAATCGATCTCTATAATTCATCCATGATGACGTGGAAAATGAAGATCTGGCAGAGGATCCAAGATCCGATGTTGCATAGTTTGGAGATAGTCGGGCAGCGTCGAAGTGGGAAGTGAACTGGAATAAGAATCATACTTTGTCTGTTAAGAATGTGAAGCTTGGCTTTTAGCCTAAAAATTTGAATTTCCATTTTCTTTTCCAACTTTTTCTGAACCTAGCCTAGAACCTGTAATAGAAGAGCATCTACACTGTCAAGTTTGAGCTCAATTATCTCTATTCCTGTGCAAGATATCAAAACTGTGTCCACAGACAAAACACTTCTGATATTATGATAAACAATTTATCAGTTTACAACTTTTGTTTACAACTTTTTCATATCGTTCACAGCAACCGGGAACAATTGGCTCAAAGTTCAGGAAGTCCTTCTATTAAAGGTTTCACGGTATCTGCTGAGCTACACAGTAAAATCCTATGAAGTATACAAATGGGGATACTGTACCCCTAGCCTAATTTTTCTGATTTCCTAGGCGACTATCTGAACCATACCATTTGAATTTGTTGCATGAGATCAGCGGTAATTTGAGACGAACCAGTGTATATTGTTGGCGATGATGGTTTGGATGGTCCTTGTTCCAGTATTACGGGGCACTGCAAAAGTATTTGTTTATTATAGAGGGTAATTATGTGATTAAGTTAATTTTCCCTATCCCAGTTACCTCTCAATTTTTGGTCCCTATTCTTTTCTCGTTTCCTCCCATTTTTTATAGGAAACTATTGGCGGGGAAGGAAAAAGTGTAATTTGATATTCCTGGAAGATTCTAGCGGCCATTTTTGTGGTTAGAAATTTGAGAAAAAAGGAGAAAGAGAGTTGATGCATCAGATTTTTATTGAGAAATCTTTTTTAAATTGGGATTCTCTTAAAGGATATCTAAATCAAATTCAGACCGTCCATCCTCCCAATGCTTGCATTCTTTGACCTAAATTATCTCAGCACCTAGCAGAAAGAAATGAATAACTGCTACACATCTTTAAATAATTTCAAACATTTTCACAGTTAATTGTGTTTCAAGAACTCTTATGAGACTCGACATATTTGAGTTAAAAGTTATAGTGTGTTTTTAAATGTACCGTAAACATCCTAATTCAATGCTCCCCAGACTTTGAGCCCATATATCTCAGTTCTTGTAAAAGATATCAATAAGTAGTTAACTGACAAAATGTTTATCACAATATCAATAATATTTGATCAGTTGACTACTTTTTGATACCTTTTGCAGGAACTGAGACATTTGGGATTAAGGTTAACGGCTTGCAAAGCACTCTTTTGTTTACGGTATTTCATACTTGCGACCGGGCCTTTGCCAGGCCTTCGCGGGATCTACCATAGTTTCTTTTAGAATCAGTATTTTTAGACCAACAAAATTAAATTTGGTAGAACTCGACAAGTACTACAAAATGATATTATTTGAAAAAGTGTGTCTTGTCTATTAACAAAGTTACAGGCAAAAAATAGAGTCCGGGCCCCGGCCGACACGACAAGGCCCGGCTACTTTATGACTTGTAACTTTGTTCATAGACAAGACACAGTTTACCAAATAGTAAAATTTTGTAGAACTCGCCGAGTTCTATCATATCTAGTAGTTGGTCTAAAAATATTGTTTCTGAAAGAAACTAGGGGTCTATTCTATTACAATGCTTACGGTATTGCTAATTATCTTCGTTCCTATCTGAAATCACCAAAAGTGATTGACTAATAAAATGTGTAAAATTCAATTTTAAACATTTTACTAGTGGACAACTTTTTGATATCTATCACACGAACAACAATAATTGGGTTTAAAGTCAGTGACTATAATTACCTGAAACTTAAAACTTGGAACAACTTTTTTCGAGGATGATTGTCCATCACCGTCCTCTTCCTCATTCATAATCTGTGTTCGGAATAATTTAAAGGAAAAAATAAGAAAAAAAAGGAAAAGAAAATAAGGGGTGTTCTTTTTTCCTTCTTCTAGAAGCAAAAAAATAGGAAATGAGGCAAAAAACGGCGAAAAACACGACTTGTTTTTTGGTTCTGAGAGAGAGAGAGCTACAACTATGAGTAAAAATAGTGGGGGTGTCTATGGTTGAGTGAGTATGAATATGATATGGGAGAAAAAAATTCTCTGAAATTTCTTTTTTTTTTCGAAAATGGATGTGATGATCCTCCAAATGACTAGTCATCATCAAAAAGGGGGGGGGGGGGAAATTGGATGGAAAAATAATTATCATCCAATTAAAAAACCCCTTCCCTTTTTTTCCAATTTTTTTCTCTCGCTGAAAAGGAAGGAGAGCAAAGGTAGATTAACATTTTTTGTGTTGCTTGATGACGTCAATTCTGGAAAAAATTATGCGAAAAATAGAGTTTTTTATACGGTACTAAGCGGATTCTCGGGGTGGCGTGGGTGACCGGATTTTTGTTTCTCTGGAACCAAAAACATTTGAATTTCAGAGATTTTTTACCTTTTTACGCAGCGAAAAGGTTATACTTCACATGTGATTTTGAAATGAAAGTTTTCTGAAATACTGTAAACACTCTGATAGAAGACTATCCGAACAGCCAACTTTGAGCTTATATATCTCAGTTCTTGCGAAAGATTTGAAAAACTGATCAACTAATAAAATATTTTTGATAATATGTTAAGAATTTTATCAGTTGACTACTTTTTGATATCTCTTACAGGCACTGAGATAAGTTAGTTCAAAGTAATTGAACCTCCCGAGAAGTGAAAGGCAAGGGGGGGGGGGAGGCACCCGCCATTTTAAGTCTAATTATCTGAATTTCTGTGGAAGATATCAAAAAGTGGCCAATTAACAAAATTTTTCTGATATTATGATAAATATTTTATCAGTTGTCTACTTTTTGATATCTTTCCCGGGAACCGAGATATATGGGTTCAAAGTTGGCTTTTCGTGTGTATTAGGGGGGGGGGGGGTGTATTTTTGAGGATTACTGTAGAAAACTAAAAAATACATTTTTTTGTTCATTTTCAAATCATTGGTTTAGTCTAAAAGTGTCTAGCAAGAATGAGTCTTTTTTTAAGTCTTGGTTTTTGAAGAATTTGATAAATTTTTTGAGAATTTCAAAGTATTTGAAAAAATCGAAAAAAAATAATCCAAAGAAATTCTTGTCCGGATGTCCGAAAACTTTAAAGTTCTATATTTTTCGATAAATTTTCAAATCACATTTCAACTCAAATTACATCTCATAACCTCCTCCACACATCACCCACTCCTCCATTGATATTTGGAAAATAATTATAGGGATTTCATGAAAATGTCAACTGTAAATTTTTTTTGGAAAGAAATTCTAAGGAAATTCGAGTCAAAAGCAAACCCAAATTTTAGAGATTTTAAAAATTTCCAGATCATTTTTCAAAATCAAAGTTGATACCGTAAAACCTGTAATAGAAGGCCCCCCACACTCTCCAATTTGAATTCAATTATCTCAAATCCTATACAAGTTATTGAAAATGTGTCAACTGATGAAATGTTGGTGAGATTATGATAAACAATTTATCAGTTGACCATTTTTTGATTTCTTCCACAGGAATCGAGATATATGGGCTCAAAGTTACAGGTGTTACGGTAATTTTGAAATTCACATTTTGAAGATTGGAAAACAAAATTCCTAATTTCCTAGAATTCGATTAAAATTGTCATTCCTTTCCTTCCGTCTATCTGTATTTCTGTTTCTCCAATTTCCCAAAACTACAGTAATCTCTAGTATATAAATTCATCAAAAATGGATATCTAGGACACCCACAAACACATTTTCTTCTTCAGAATAAAAAGATCAAACATCTTTTTTTTGGCTTTTTTTTTTGGAAAAAGGGATAATCTAAAAATAGCTGGGGACCAAAAAAAGAAAAAGAAGAGCCGCAAAAAAAGAGGGATATACGATTTTCTATACTAAATGTTGTTCTGAACATTTTTCTAAAAACTTTGGAGGATGCGGAAAAAAATCTTCCGAACAAAAAAATCCCCATAGGACTTACATTTACAATTGTTGGAAGAATTAAAGCAGCCGGCGGCGCTTTTCGGGTTACTGTAGTCTGAGTGGGGGGTACTGTAGGTACTGTAGGCTGCTGAGCAATGACCACCGATGAGGGTACATCTTCTTGGCTCATGTCACCTGGAAAATGACTTTTTTTCGTTTTGGGGGGATTTGGGGAAAATTTGAATTCGGAAAAAGAAGGAAAGTTGAGAAAAGGGAGAAATTTAAATTTCAATAAAATCTTTCAAATTTTGAATTTATATGTGATTTTTAATTGAACCATTGATGTTTGAGAATTTCAGAAACTCTGGTTTCAAAAATTTAGAAACTCGAAAAATTCCAAAAATTGAAATCCAGATTTCTTTTTTGAAAAAAAAAACTTGGGCTTTACTGAAATTGGGTAAAAAATGCTGAAAATCGATTTTGACTTCACAATTTTTTTTTTCAAAAATCCTCTCATGCGGAAATTCAATGGAATATGAGTTCACAGAAAATGAGTGTCTCGAAAAAAATGAATACCTAAAAGTTCAAACTGACTCAGATAAGCGAGGAACTACACCCGGAAAGAAATCATCTGTCTGTTTTTCTGTTTGTCGAGATGTCCGATTTTTTCAAAGTTTAAGAGAGGAGAAGTCAGAAAAAATGAGCTTAAAATTTTCCAAGAAGAAAAAAAAACTTTAAATTTTCACCTGGAATTTCAGCCCACGGACAGGTGTAATGGATTTTTTGAAAATTTCTAAAATAGCAAATTCTGGAATCTTCTGAAGACTTCCAGAATCTTTTAGAACCGCATGGATCCTTCTAGATAGTTCTAGAAATATCCAAACAATTTTTCACCTATAGTTCACCAAACTCCTCCTTTTTAAAGGTTTAATATGGTCTACACGCCATCCTGAATATCCAGAAAATCTTCAAATTATCCCAACAAAACGTAATCAAATCCAAAAAATCCGTGATGATCCCAAACTTGAGTATCCACCCATAAAATCTGATTTTTTACGTAACCATCAGATTATCCGGTATCCGGATAATCTGATTGAAAACATGAAAGTCTAGATTTTTCTTATTGACAGGATAATTCGTATGAATCATGTGAATTAGACAACTGAATTTTCAGAAATTTCAAATTTAAACAACCGGAAACCTTGTGACAGAACTTTAAGCCAATTTATCTCGGTTCCTGTCAAAGATATAAACAATTGATCAGCTAATCAAATATTGATTATGAAATGATAAATACTTTATCAGTTGACAACTTTTTCATATCTTTGGCAGAAATCGAGATAATTGAGCTCAAATTTTACAGTGTGGGGGCCCTTATTTTACAGATTTACCGGAATATTTTTTTTTTAACTCGGAAATTCAGCAAAAACCAACACTCTCCAAAACTCTGAATCCAACAGAGTAAAAATATTAGAATCCAAAAAGAAAGAAAAAGAGAAAAAATCTAGAATCTCGCGAGAAAAAAATCCGGAAGGAAGAAATTAGAGCAAAGAAAGAAGGAAAAGAAAAGGAAGAGGCTAGAAGATGAAGGATCTTTTTTATATGGACAGAAATCGTAGGAAAAGAAAGTGGTGGCAAAAAAGTCGTAGAAGTTTTTTTTAATTTAAAAAAAAACTTGAATTTTCTGAAATTTTCTGATGTTTAGTATGTGAATCGAGCGCGTTTATATAGACAACAATCTTGGAGAACACTGAAATTAGGACGAAAAATATCAATCTGGAAATTCGAGTTGTTTGAGGAACTGAAAATTTCAGACTTTTGGATTTCAGGTTCAGGAAATTGGAAAAAATGGAGCGGATTTTTATTAGGAAATGAAAAATTGATATGGGTGGTCTTGAAAGGTTTTCAGCGGGAAATTTGAAAACTTTAGAACTACAGGAGTATTTGAATTTGGATAGATTTTTTGAATTTTGAGAATTTAAATGTTTAGAATATCTGATTTTTAGAAATACCGTAAACACTCTAATAGAACTCCACCCAAGCCATTAACTCTGGGCTCATATATCTCCATTACTGTGAAAGATATCAAAAAGTTGTCAACTAACAAATTGTTTATCATAATATCAGCAACATTTTATCAGTACTTTTTGATATCTCTCATAAAAAATGAGATACATAGGCTCGAAGTTGACAGTTTGGGTGACGCTCTATTAAGAGTGTTTGCGGTAGCAGGAGTTTAAGGGTTTTTGAATCTCAGGACTTCCTAAAAAGTTCAACAGAGTTAACAAAGTCTTAATTCAAGCAGGTGGAATGGTTGACTTCTGATAATTTGAATTCAGAAGAAAATCTACGGGGTCAGGTGATGACGAAAAAAAAACATAAACGGGCGGACCGGATTAGGCGGAGAAAAATGACCAAAAAACGAGAAAAGGAGGCATATGATTTGGATTATTTATCACCTGTTCGGGGAACATTCAGATTACGTTTGATTACACTTTTAGGAGCTGGGAATCATAGAAAATAAACAAGATATTTGAATTAAACAGGGTCCATTTACCTACAATCGCATTTTTTTAATTGAAATTTTTTTTAATTTTTAACAATTTTTCCAATCCAAAAAAAGTGGGCGGAGCTTGAAAATTATCTGTAGCTCACTATTGCTCACCTATTGCTCATTCTCATTTTAATGAAAAATAGGAGAATTAAATTTCCCACCGAGAGGAAAATTGAAATTCTCTGGAAAACACGAAAAATAGGTCTGACTCATTTTTTTCCAATTTTTTTTTCAAAATTTTGTTTTTGAAAAAAATTAATGAGTGGAAAATACGGTCTATGTTCCCCACAAAAATTTGGAGTGGGTGGGGAAAAATTGGAACTATCGGGAAAACAAAAAAACGAATTTCGTAGATCAAAAATTTTTTGAACACTCAGAAAAATTCTGCGAGGGGTCTG